CTCTCTTTTTCCCGATCAGGACATCGATGAAAAGCGGCAGCTGATCGGCAGCTGGTGTTTAACGGATCGATATATCGCCATTTTCTCGGCGCACTGCGCGGGTGTGAGTGCCGGAGACCTGGACAATCCCCAGCTCGCGGCCTCAGTCGTACGAGCAGAGACGTCACGTGATTACGCGCGGGCACAGGATCGGAGACAGACCTAGGAACGACGTAAAACACACCACAGGAACAATAGTACTTAATAAAGTTAAGAACAAAGGAGATAGGCTGATAGTGTAGGGTTATTCAGCAGTGCCACGGCTACAACTATCGGAGACGGACAACAGGAAGGTGATTGGTGAGTACTTTTCTTCCTTTTTCTTCTTCTTTTTTTCTTATTATTTTTCTTGTACTTCTTGTTCTTCCTGTTCTTGTTCTTGTTCTTGTTTTTCTTCTTGTTCTTGTTCTTGTTCTTCTTCTCCATTAGTCAGATCTGGAAAAGACATTGACAATCATGGTCCTCTAATTTTATATCTCTGCTAGGATGTTCTAAAAACAACAACAACAACAAAAGACCATGTGTTATAATCACCCAAGAGTTCAGGTTTTTCAAATAGCCGTCTCTGTAACTATCCTGCCAAGTTTGCCTTCTATGTTTCCAGTGAGAGCAAGATGTTCAAGGTCTGTATGTCCAGTCAAGTAGCCAAGAAACTGCATCTGTCTCTTCCTAACTGTTTCCAATTCACAGAATACTCCTGCCAGAAATACACAATTAGTGAGGAATCGTGGTGAAATCAGTGTTTTTTGTTCAACACCTTTTATTTTCAGATAGAAACATATTTCCTTGTGAATTTTACTGAGAAACGTTTATTAAAAGTACAAAATATGTAATTTTTCAGTTTTCTGGGACTCTCAAACTATTGAAGTTAACAAATTTTGGCGGCCATAAGTTTCTCGCTAATTTTCCCACTCAAAGCAGTCGACAGCACCTCGTTCAACTATCTCGACTTCTATTCAAGTTAGATGGGTATTTGTTTTTCTTTGAAAGCAGGGCAAATGCACAAGCTTTTAGATAAAACTAAAAACTCTACTTGCCCAAAATTCCACGAGAGCCTGATTGCACCGGGTCATGACACATATCCCCATCACACCTCTATAAGATAACAAGACGCACTCTTTTTGAAAGGTACAATAATTGCTTAGCGAGGCGTGAGTGATTATGTGACAACCACGTTTGATTTGACAGTACAAACAAAGAGGTGTGTCAGATTCTACACACAAGACAGACCCTGCTGAGCAAAGTAGAATGTAGAAACATACAATACTATGACCATTTAAAAAGGAACGAGACTATTGTAAAAGAGGTGCTTGAAGGAAAGATGTGGGGCAGGAGAGCCAGATGAAGGCAAAGAATAACTCGGATGGACAACATAAGAACGTGTGCTGGCCTGGATATGGCAGAATGTGCAACGGCAGCGCGCAACCGTGAAAGATGGAGAGTCATTACACGTCAACATCTGAGTCAGAGATAACACCTTCAAGTATCCAGGTATCCACGCATTCAGGTATACTGTAGAGTTATCTGGATTTGGAGTTCTTCGAAAGTCCATCGATATCGATAAAGGCTATAGCAATACTATACGCCATGATACAGTTTTATCCGGGCGATACTCATAGAGGAAATAGATTGCCCAAGTACTACTTCCCTCACTTCACATTGTCATCTTGACTTCTTGATATGCCCTAGAAGAAAGACATGGTCACTGCGTTTGGAATCAAGGATGGTGCAAGACCACTGGCGTAGGAATTATTTTCTACTACGTTCAGAAAAGGCACCTTTCCATTCTAACACTGAGTTTCAATTTGA